CGTGCTCCTGTCTGTGGCCTCATTCGATCCGTCCCATCTGCACATAAAATACATCCACATACATCCATGTGGCCTCTTATCTCTTTTCTCCGGAATGTGCGACACACACCATGATGCTACGGTCACGGCCCCACAACATACTGCTGTCTGCATGCTAAACACGAGAGTACAGCGCTTCTCTGCCCGCCTGTGGCGAGGGTGTGTGTGTGCGTTTCATGGGTGACAGTACGGCTCCGCTGAATTTCAAGTCGTTTGGCGGCCTGGAATTCGCGGCGGCGGTGGGAGACGCAGCATCAGAAAAAAAACGGTAAATGAATGCGGAACATCCAGTGCGTACTCTAACCACTTACCTACTTTTGCTTTTTGTATGTTCTTGCATCACCCCTTGCCGCGGTGCTCTCGTTACCACACTCCGGAGGGACGCCTTGTATATATACATATTATATTGTTGTTGTTGTTGTTGTTGTTGTTGTTGTTGTTGTTGTTGTTGTTGTTGTCGTTGTTTCTCACATTAGCTCTGTAGTCCACAAAAATGGGGAGCCTGTGGTCGTAAAAACTCGGCACATACGACGGCGCGTATATTGTATATAGTCTATATCGACACAGGTATGGACATGTACGTACCTCTTGCACGAAGGAGGCTTCGGCTGATACGTACGAGAAGGACTTCGAGTCCGGCGCCCACGGAGTGAAGCCTTGCGAGAGACCAGACAGAAGCGATTGCGGGGGGGTAAAACCGGGACATCACGTTTTGGAATTGCCTTCACAGTACACGCTCTTCACACTACAAGTCAAGACTAACGACGACGATATCACCCGCAATACATGTCGCAAGGTAACACAACCGCATGTGACACGGTACAGCGTAGACTTCCGGCTTCGGCGTGAAGAGGGTCAGATATCGGGAGGTACACCTTTCATGGGGCAGGGTCAGACAAGACATGTCTCGTCTAAAGGCACGGAAAGCACCAGCTTGACCGGCAAAAAAACACACACAACACGATGCTCGGCACAAAATACGCAGCATCAGGCGGTACCACTGAAAGGGCAAAAAAAAGGGGGGGGGGGGGNGGAAGGAAAAGAACAGAAACAAGGGGAAAACAAGGAACAATAAAAAACAACAAAAATAAACGGGCAAGAGAAACGGCCACCAACAACCTTGTGCAAACATGTCGAAGTAAGGGAGGTACATCTTGAGGAAGAAGGGTCGGGGAGAGAACTCGTCCAGCAGCTGAACGTCCCTCGTCTCACAGTCGTAGATCACCCACTGGAACTGCACACACAAGCGCAGACACGTCGCACAACAACACCGAACCAAGCGGGAAAACGGGAGAGTGAGAAGAAACGAACATGCTTGGTGGGCTTTCAACATGTTGATGTGCGTGTTCGCGGAGAGCCCCTTGCCTTTTGGGCATCATCAGGATCGTGAGTGCATCACCCATCGCAAAGCTGTACTTGAATACTTTGATGCTTGTGGAGGGAGAGAGAGATATATATAGATATATATATATAGAGAGGTGGCTGGGTTTGCGCGTGACTCTTTCCTTTCTGTTGACAAAACCCGATACACATGTCCGCAACTACACGCAGAAGTTTAAAGTTCGCAGCCGATGGAATGGATATCAATAATTTCTATGGTGCCACTTGTTTGCACTATCGCAAACAACACTGCATTGACATACAATACTGTGGTGTACACAGCAGTCACGGATGTACACCGTTCGTTAGTAAACCATAATCGACTTCGTAAGTCGCGAGGGAAGGGATTGCTGTACCCTTCTCGCGATAAAAATACCTCAGGCATGAACCGCAGGAGGGGGTCCAACCCCCCCCTCCTATGTGACCCCGGTTGGGTCGTCTAGCTAGTAGAAGTGGAGGATAGGGGCCAGAGGGGCAGACGACAGAGTCCAATGATGGGAGAAAAAACAAACAAAAACAAACAAACAACCGTCCGGTGACGTGGAAGTAGCGTCCCACCGCCATGATATCTCTGACTAGACATCAGCACAGCCAGCACGGCATACAGAACTTCTCCCGTCTCCAGAGGAGGGAGCCGTGGGGGGCATACTCATATTTTGTACCATGCCTTAGCGGTTAGACCATTGACCACGCGTCCTCGTAATGACGGAGGGGGGGGGGGGGGGGGG